CGTGCTGACTCGAGTGCAGGGATCTACTCGCCCGACATGTCAATTCGGCACATCAACAGCACAATGAATCACTCTCCTCAATGCCAATGATCCATCTTGATGCCTCCTCGTTCGAGAAGAGCAATCGAAGCCCGATTTTGCTGGCCTCGCCTGGAACGGCTGAAGCGACTTTCGACGGAGGGCTACCATTTACGACAACATCATCCTTACACCAGGACGAACCGACCGTTTATTCAACCCAATTGAACTTTGATGAGGACAATACGCTGTCGAACAACATCTCCGAAGCGACAAATTACTTTCCTCCAGTCAGTTACGACATGGGATTCGTTTCCAGTCTGGACTTCAATCAATTCTTGATGCTCTCGCCCCTTCCCTCTTTAGCAGCTAATTCACCTTCCCACGACAGTCCCGAGAAACAACTCAACGCATTGACCCCGAACAGTTGTGCTCCACAAAGCACGAATCACTCGACAAGTTCGTGGGTCCCTCTCTCGGCCGTGCCCGATATGTCGGCCTCAACATCAGAACAGCGCAAGCTTGATTGGGCTATCATTGATGATGACTGGGATCATTTCGTTACGACCATTACACAACTTTGTCCTGAATATGCAGTGTCTCGACTGCCCTCTCGTCAAAGTATATCACGATACATCGCGGCGTATTTCCGGGGGTTTCACGAGCACCTGCCATTTTTACATGCTCCGACAATCAATTTACACGACACAAGGCCACATCTGGTCGTTGCCATCGCCATGATCGGCGCCCAATATTGCCTAGACGTCAAAAGCATGGTTTCGCTTTTTAGCCTTGCGAAGTTGATGGTCCAGAAAGGGATTGACATTCGAAGACAGGCATTTGCAAGCAATGAAAGAGCACCACCGGAATCAGGAAGAACTAATGCAGATGGAACGAGCGATTCGAACGACGAAGCAATCCAGTCCTGCCAAACACTGCTTTTGCTGATGATTGCGGCGACTTGGGGCGATCCCAAGACCACTTTGAAGGAGGATATGAATCTACAAAGCATCCTTGCAGCCTATATCCGTGAGGAAGGGCTTCTGCGAATCGACGATACCGTCAAACACAACTCGTGGCACGACTGGATTCGAGCAGAAGGGGTAAAACGAACAGTTTTGATCACATTCTGTTTCTTCAACTTTCACACCATCCTTTATAATGTTCCTCCACCTATACTGAATGCCGAGATTCACATGGTGTTACCTTGCTGTGAGGAAGAATGGAGGTGTAGTACTGCTACATCATGGGCAGAGGAGCACGCAAAGGGAAAGAACACCCACCCGGAATTCGGCGTTGCATACAAGAGCCTCTTCCACCCTGCAGCATATGAAGGTCTCAAGACTTGCTCATCATTGGGCGTCTACATTTTGATAACGGCAATCGTACAGCACATCTATGTTATCCGACAGCTCAGTAAGCATACCCTCTTCGACCACACCACGACAATCCCCTCGGAAATTGATACGCTACATCAAGCACTGCGTCGGTGGCAGGAGATTTGGGAGATGGACCCGCATAGATCACTTGGCCCAAACAATCCAAACGGTCCATTACCGTTCAACTCAACCGCCTTGCTTCGAATGGCATATGTCCGTTTAGGCATGGACATTGGCTCCTCATTTACCATGAGCTCTCGTAACCCACAGCAGATCGCTTTCGAAATGCTGCACAGTCCACCCGTTCCTCGCAACCGCCACAGCACGAGGGCGGCACTACATGCTGCTCACACCTTGAACACACCCGTCAAGATTGGGTTGAAGCTTGTTGCCAAAACTCAAGCGTTGACCTGGTCTCTTCAGCATTCCTTGTCATATCTTGAGTCAGCTTTTCTGCTTAGTAAATGGTTGGACAACATCATGCGTTCGCTTGAAAATCCACCGCTAGACGAGGCTGAACAGCAGGTTCTGTTATATGTGCAAGGCATTTTTCATGAAGCCGTTGACAATGACGACGAAGAGACGACTCCATGTATAAACCCTCAAATGAGTATCAGCCTGATTCGAATCTGGGCACAACTAATCCTCGAAGAAGGCATCTGGCCAATAGTAAACATGGTTGGAAAAACTTTGGCCTTGTACGCTGATCTTCTAGCAACCAACAATGGAAAGGATGTTGCCTGATCGAAGCATTGAAGAAGGATACGTAATAATTCTATTCCCAGGGACCACTTCCGAGGAGCCCGACCTCGCCGATCCAAACAAGCTTCTTTCCTTCTAGCCGATTCGCGGCTGTATGCGCTGGAAAGGGTTGGCATTTTGGAGAAGATCTGCCTCATCTCCAGGTTTTGGGATCCACATGTCTCTATGGAGAGATGCCTATTCTAGGAACTCGGTTATATGATGATGATTACTTACTGATAGAGTCATATATCGGCCACTTCTCCGCAGTCGACCACCTGACAGGCACGGCCGTCACTTACTACATAAGAGGCGTGTGCATCCTTGGATGCTACAGGGAGGTATGAAATATGTTGCTGACGAGACATCAGGAGGTTGCTTGTACGACAATGGCCTAAGTTATGCGTCTTTCACTCGGCTTTCCTGACTACTTCCGCCGTCGTAGAGGCTACGATGGCCAATTGCCCCATGGTCCGACCTTCATTATGCAGGCGGGTGTCGCCGGAGTTGCTAAGCTGACAATGGACGGAGCTGATCGAAAAATATCCCCTGATCCCCCTTGGACACTGGAAGTAAGGCTCAGTGGTCAGTCCCGCCGGCATTGAGAGTACTGTGTGCTGACTAGAATGAGCAGGCATTCTGAAATGCGAACTGGACATGAACCCTGACAGTGGATTGTCAGAGTATCGAGCCACCAAGACAACAGAGGTATAGACTCGATCCTTCTAAATTACCAAGAGAAACCTTGCAGCTAACCATATCTTCCTGTAGTTGGTGTCTATGATGCATTTCACGGCGACTGACAATCTTTTCGATCAGATGATGGAGTCAGGAGCCGCAAGTGTGCCATTCTTCTTCGACCTCAGTCCTTACCTTCAAGATGGCGGGATAGACGAGCCACCAAAATACAACTCAACCCTCTCTAGCCATTTCACCCCACTTCCTCCGTCCATCCTTCCGTCGTCACTGGGTTCCCGTCATAGAGGCAGGACAGGCAACCTGTGCGAAGGATTCGCGCTAGCTCACGTCTACTACACAATCACCGCCACGCTGATGACCGACACGCACACCGTGTGTCGGCGCAGCCAGAGAATCAATCTGATTCCGTTGCTACTGGAATGCCCTCCCACATGCCTTGCAGATTTCGAGGGGGAGTACCAGCCATGTCAGCGACGGACTTTGAAAGAGTCGATTTTTTGGAACAGGGGTGATATCCAGATCACGATCCGGGAGCCAGACCAGTTGACCCTCACGCCTGATATCAATGGGTCTTTTGCGAGACTTCCTGTTCAACTACAGCTGGACTTGCCTAGCTCGTACAAGATTCCAGCAAACGGTGCGCTATGCGTCGAGACTGACGTGACATGGCAGCTCCGAGCGATATCCTTCGTCTCGATCAAGGCTCAAACGCACGTCCCGACCATCAAAGGGGCTCTTGCAAGCCCAACCATTGCCCCAGTGGGCACATCGACTGCGACAAGAACTTCATCTGTAACCTGGGGGGACTGGACGATAATAGATGGACACTACTCGGCAAAAACCCGTCTGGAGAGTCATCAAGAGTTGCTCTTGAGCTTTGCATCCTCGGATATCAAGACGCCGACCTTTTGGTCTCCATATCTCAGTGTGAGGTTTACTCTTCGGGTACAGTTTCAAGTCAAAGCACCTGGGATTGCGACAATCGAGTTGGAAGTACCAATCCAAGTGGGTGTGGACCAAGAATCTTTGGAAAGCCACAGACTCGAAATCGACCAAGGTTTGAGAGAAAAAGGTGGTTACATATTGGGGCGTACTTGATGGGCATCGATGTCGGATTGAGACTTTGATCAACTGACACCATTCCGGAGACTGGAGAAAGCCTCCCACATCCCAACCATTCAACAATGTTGAGATCCGCTGACCTTGCCTTGTACGGAGGACGAGAACTCGTTTTATCCGAAGTCTAGTACTAAATGTCAAAAATTGTCTCGGAATAAGGCGTACTAGGGAGACAATAGTAGGGACCAAATCATGCAAAATCATGTTGTGAGGGTGAGTGAGAGCGTGGAGGGTAGCAAGAAGGCGAGAAGAACGTGAGTCACGAGCGAATGGTCTTGAATAGCGGCACCTCTTCGGTGAGCATTCCATGAGCTTGGGGGCCAATTGAACGATTGCTTTTTCATGCTACATAAGCGATGTTCACCTCGTTATCGCTGAGCCTGGACGGCTCTTATAAACGTGGCGTACACGGAAAATCACCTCGTCTTTTCGACATTCACCCTGTATGGTTTCCCAGTCCAAGTAGCATAGCTGGGAACAAAAAGGAAGAGAGTCGTAAGGGAGAAACAGGGCGACCACTAGTCGAGAGAGAAAGAATGCATGGGACCAACCCCCTACCAAGAAACGCATCTCATCCCTGTCACTATAGGGAGGAGCAGATACAATGACACGAGACTGAACGGATAGTATTGTTTCTGTTCCTTACATATCTAGGTAGGAAGTAGTCTTCCATATACTATCCACAGTAGAGAAGCTTCCACGGTACGAACTATTTTATCTGTTTGGCGTAAAAGTATCCATCAGTTGGGAAATAGGCGAGGCGAGCATGACCGTAATGTCTTGCGGTTGAAAACAGTAGCCATCGCATACACTCTCTCCCACCAAGGCACCTTTACCTGACACTGTAAGTGGCTCCGACGACAAGAAAGTAATCGGGAGTGACTCGTAGGTGCTGACTACCTAGGTAAATAAAAAAGGACGCTCATCGCCCTGGGTGAGATGAAACCTAGAAATGCTCAAGTGCGGGGACATTTGAAAAGTTTGATAAGTCTTGACCACCAAATTTGGGTAGTAAATTGCCCGGGAAATTGGGCCGTTATCGTCGACACGATGGCCGAGTGGTTAAGGCGACAGACTCGAATTGTTTCATCTCTTTCTTGCTATCTGTTGGGTTCGCCCGCACAGGTTCAAATCCTGTTCGTGTCGAATTTTTTTGTGGTTTTTTTGATGTTGCAAATGCTGGTATGACCTCGAACACACACGACAGACGAAAAATAAGGACAAAAAAAGAAAAATAAAGAGGGCTGCGTGTGAGGTGAAGTTGCGGAGCGGGAAAGCAGAAGGCAAGGAAAGTACTAAATCCCCAACGCACGCGAGGGCGGTTTGGCGGACTCATCACAAGCCGATGTCACAATCGAAAGGTTTTGGTGGAAATGAACAAGTGAAATATTCAATTTTTTCAAATATCTAGTCGATGAGACCCAATGCGTCCATTGAAGCCTCGGAGCAAACAGCCAAAGGAAAAATAATCCTCTGACGCCGACCAGGTCAGGGAAGACATTGGGCAGATAAGATGTCAACAACACTCCCGGAAGGCTGTTGTCACGACCATCCGGGGGCGTTGGCTCTGCTCTTTTTTCTTTCTATATGTCCAATTTGTGTAATAATGGGTTGAAACAAGTCTACATAGGCAGGAATCGACTATTGTATGACCAAAGGTAGGTACGCAACCAAGGTTCCCGCGATACCAGACATTGCCGTTGAACTGAAAGGGGTATGTTGTACGGTGTCGTGTTGTGTTTTGCAGTGTATGAAGGATCAAACAAGTTGAGTGAGTACATGATGAAAGATCGGAGGACCATCTTGTTGTTATGCGTATGCAGAATTATGTCTGGTGAGCATCAGATTGAATCAGCTGAGAAGCTCTTGACCACGGGCGTGTCCTGCACTCCCACGGTGATCTATCGCTCTTGCTCGATTTTTGGACGACGTTGTGCAGACTGCCTGGATCCTGCACCGACATAATCTATCGACGCATGACGGTGCAAAGATAGGGCATGGCATCCTTGCCCCGAGTACCCTTTTGAATGGTGCAAAAGTGACCATGGCCGAACTGAGTGTCCTTGGCAGCTCCTCGAGTTTGCTTGGTGGAGGGAGGCATTGTTGATAGACTTGTCTAAAAGTTGGGTTGGAAAATGAGTGTGGTAGAGTTGGACTTTTCTCGAAACGAATGTGGTTTGTTGATCTCGGGAGGTATTTCGGAGCAGCAGCATTCAGTGTCTTATATGCCTACCCTCTTTAACGAACACCATCGCACATTGTCACATTGCCCCACGAGAAAGAGAGAGAGAGAGAGCCGGGCCAAAAAAAAACAAAGGAAGGGGTTGATTGCGACAAGACTGAATGGAAGGGTTGAGGAGCTTAATATTGTTCTTGCTTGATATTGTTCTTTCCCCACACAAAGCAAATATCCTGGAACAGAGCACACATACACAACCCAGAGGCTGGAATATGACACACACCGGACGCTTTCGACTATTTCGAGGTCAAAGACATTCTCCGAACCAATATTGCAATCATGGAAAGGAACAACAATGGAAATGCTTCCGGAAGTAATGCTCGTGTTGTTTGGTCGTGGCCGGAATTTCCATTTCATCATATCTCAAAAGCGAGTAAATGGCAGCCACTTGCCCCGGAGGTGGATATTGACCTGCATAGTTGTTAGCCAGCCTGCAAGACCAAAAAAAGTACGGGTTTGCCTTCAGTACCCATGTGTTGCCGTCCTTGTCAACCTCCTTTTCAACGTGAGTCGAGAACGAGATGGCGCTCATGATCCCATCTCCAAACTTTTCATTCAACACAGCTTTGTATGCGTAACCATAATTTTGCACAATCTCGTACAGACGGTAAATTAGAGGCTCTCTCGGGGGCATCTCGACGCTCTTTCCCCGGTCGGGGAAGCCCGTCATTTGCGCCTCCAGGGTCGCATGGTCGAGCCCAAAGTATTCCGATAGTTTCTTTACGTCTTCCGGAGAGGCCTTGGCCTGTCCGTAGAACAAAGCAGCCACTGCGACCTCGTCACGACCCAACTCTTTCCCGATAGCCTCAAATGTCACCTTCTTCTTTGCCTTGGCCTCGAACAGGGTTTCGGAGGACGATCGAAGGTTGGGGTGTTGCCGCACCTGACAAAGAGCATGTTAATTGTTGTTTGTTTCCTTTGTATTAGGGACGACTCACGTCGAGAGTTGCAAGGGACATGTTGGACTCCTTTCTGGAGACTTGCAGCGGAGTGAGACGAGTATATCGAAGTGCGGTCTGCGACCTTGAACCTAGAGCTGAGGTGGTAGTAAGCCGCTGTAAAGGACGTACGTAGGAAGCCATGTCTTGGATCAGAATATCACGGCAATATATATAGCCAGAAACCAAGTCAGGACCGTGGAGAAGTGCACCGGTTCAATACCGAGTGTTTGTCTGGCATGGTTCTCTTTGGTGGAGGGGGAAACGGAACTGTGATTGTCTGGCCCCGCATGATGGGCATCGAGAGAGCTTCGGCATTGGGGAGCTGTTTGTTGTCATCCGTCATCATGGTGTCTAATGGGATCTTTGAAAGATAAGAAGCGAGTCTTCGTACGAAGAGATACGGGCAGTGAGAAACCTGAAAGATTTCCATTCGGGCAATACTCAGACCTTCCAAATCATGTGGAATAAAACTTTGAGGTCGTGTTATACCAGACAAAGAGATCCCGCCAATGTGGACGCAGCTTCTGGGTACATGTACCTGAAGTTCCTTAAGGCCAGGATTCGTGTCATGCAGTTACCTTGTAAACTTGGCCAGACTCCGACTCCGGTAGTGCGAGTACGCGTAAGTACGTACCTTGTGTACTGTCGAGTACTTGAAGCGGGGGCAATCATGTTATGAGCAATCGAATCCATGTACAGTGAGAATCTCAGTGAATTAAAGCAGCATCATCAGCAACATGCATAACGCATCCAGCTCAACCAAGGGGCTGAGTCGCCTTGGCGGGGCTTCGTTCGCTCTTGTTCAGCTGAAACATTAGCAAGTTATTCTAGACTTCGTAGGCAACAACCTCGACGTGTATTCGTCTATCGTGGTCTTACTTTTCTCTATGTTTTGATTACGACTCAGATCATACTTGTTGGACAGCCCCAGCATCGCAGAAGATCCCAATCAAGATGTCGTACCAACCACCGCCGGAGGACGACGGGCTAGCTTATGGACATGACTACTCTCAATCCCGGGGAAGTGGTCAGAGCGGCACGGATCGATCATTGATTGGGGACACCTTCAAGAAGTTCAAGACGGGCTATGACAAGTACAAAACCTCATCATCGTCAGGGCCAAACTACGGGTATTCATCCTCAGGTTCCAACCAAGCCTATTATGGTCAACAGGGCCAGAATGCAACCACAGGGCAGTCACAGTCATCATACTATGGCCAGCAGGGCCAGAATCAAACCCCACAACAATCGTACTATAGTCCACCAGGATCATCTGCTGGTCAACCGGCCTATCCAGGGGGGCCTCCTTCGCAACAGCCTGGGGGGAAACCAGACATGGCTTCGAAGCTGTTTGGGGCTCTGCAGAATACGGTTCAGAATATAGGCTCTGATGTTCAACACTTGATCGACCCCAGTCACAAACCGCCTACCCAGTATGGCAATCAACCTTCAGGACAAATCGGCTCGACTTACGCCAATATGCCGGCCGGTCCAGGCCAGCCTGCGGTCAAGAATCGATTTGATGCATTCGCTTCCGAGAAGCCCGGCAACGACGTGAAATGGTATGTTGATGGCTGCGGATACTTCTGGGCAGTAAGCCAAGCTCTTGAGAGGGCGAAGCATTCCATATGGATTCTCGATTGGTGGCTGTCTCCTGAGCTATACCTCCGTCGACCTCCATCTCAGAACGAGCAATGGCGACTCGATCGAATTCTCCAACGAGCTGCACAGCGTGGTGTCAAGGTCCACATCATTGTTTACAAGGAAGTCACACAAGCATTGAGTATGTCTAGGAGCGTGACAACTGTGGTTGCTTATGTGTATACTGACTCTGAAATCAGCGCTGTCATCCGCCCACACCAAACACGAATTGGAAAAGTTGTCACCCAATATCTCCGTCTTCCGACACCCTGACCACCTCCCCGATGCTCAGACTACCCAGTCGTCCTTGATCTCATCACTTCAGGGTCTCAAGCTCGATGCTGCGGGTGCTTCCAGACTTGGTGCAGATGCGTTGAAAGGTATCTATGGAATTACTGACGACGTCATCCTCTACTGGGCGCACCACGAGAAACTCTGCCTTATCGATCGTGACATTGCATTCATGGGTGGTCTCGATCTTTGTTTCGGCAGGTGGGATACGAATCAACATGCTATTGCCGATGTCCACCCTTTGAACGTGAATGACACCGTCTTCCCTGGACAAGATTACAACAATGCCCGGTGAGTACAGTCCGGCTGTGTAATGTATCTGTCGACGAAGCTAACCCGTAACAGAGTGATGGACTTCAGCGATGTTGCAAATCCGTTCCAGAATAAGCTTGATCGGACGACAAGTTCTAGAATGGGCTGGTAAGTATGACCTGTAACTGGCTTGTACGGCGATTGACCATGCCAGGTCCGACATTGCAATCTGCCTCCAGGGGTCCTGTGTCGCTGACCTCTGCCATCATTTCATTGATCGCTGGAACTTCATCTACGATGAGAAGTACAATGTTCGGCAAGACCAGCGCTACTACCGGATCGCCGACGATTATCCCCATACTTCTTCAGGACCAGGGCAAAGACCACAATCGCAGCAATCGCAGCATGCGCAGACACAACCCCAACAGTCCCAACAACAGACTTCGAGTTATCTTCAGCCACCAGGACCAGGCGGTTCATTTCCTCCTCCTCCAGGCAGTCAACCCTACAGCCCACCTGCGTGGCATAGCACCAGCAGACCGCATACACCTGGTGGAGATTCATATCAGCCTCAACCGAGCACCAGCCCTGGAGTTAGCCCGTCCTTGCAGCCAGCGGCGACATATACTTCAAGCACGCCTTCTACTTATGGTCAGCCTGCACCCACGGGTGGTCAACCGCAGTATCAGACCTCGCCGCCTCCTCCAGCCGGAAACTACGGCCAACAACCGAACCTCTACTCACAGCAGAATTTCCCTCCCCCACCACCAGGGCCACCGCCA